AAAATACATATAAGGAAAGGTCTGACTGTCATGAAACTTAGTGGGTAGGTAACTAATGGTACTAGTATACAAAGTTTAAAGTGACGTCACGATGACGTCATCGTTTGGTTTTGATAATTTTTAGATATATATAATTTATTCTGCTTCCAAAAATTGCACACTTTCTTTCATCGGATTGACATTAAACTTGGTTCAAACCAAAATCACAATGACAAAATGTGCATTGAGAAGGGTCTTAAAGGGAATGTACATCATTGGCTTTTGCTGTTATTTTCAGAAATGAACTATTTGAGGGGTTAGTTTAATCGATCAAAAATTGTTTAACTGACATGTTTGAAGTTTTGTGTTCGAAAATGCTTGAAAAACCAAGAAAACACAACTGTTTATGTAGTCTGGTTCCCTGACTCCACTAAAGATAAAATGGATCAATTATAGATGTCGGATAATTGTAAGATAAGGGAACCAGTCTAGCTGGCCTGCAGCCGTTCATGAACATGTAACCAATAGCAAACAAAATTTGAACTGAAAAAAAATTGTAAATTTGGAGGAGTAGTTGAAAAATAGTTAGGTTTTTCCAACGGTGGTCGGCCGACCACCGTTGGAAATGTATACAAAAATACCATTTTCTTGAAAATGACTCGACACCAGGTGCCATAATTTTACAGGATGCTTTAGACTGTCATTTACCAACATCCTAGTAAGGTATTTCGTAAAAACTTGGTAGTTTTATTTTTCGATGTTTGCAAATGTTGTATATTCCCTTTAAGGATGACGTCATTGCAGGGCAAGTGACATCATTTGATAAAGATATACTTTAGGAATTATTCTAAGCGTTTTGAACAACCTTTAACTGCATGAAGCACTCTGAAAAGTGACTGCAAAAGGACAAACGAAACAAACATTTGTAAAATGCGAAAAAGCCCTGTGTTCTGTTTGCAAACAGACATACAGCTCTAGTTTTTTAAATTGCTGCATTGGCATTGTTTTGGCTGCTTTCAATTGTGTATTTATCATTCGAGAAGAAGGGAGCGAGAATAAAGTGATGAAGCCCACACATCTATTTAGTTCCTTTTAACAATGACACACTATACAGATTGCTTCTAGAGTTTGAGGAAAACTTGGTCGCCTTGACTATAGGCCGGAAGGGAATGTTCCCATTTTTCCCCACTAATGAGGTTTTTTGTGTGGGTTTTTCGCCTTTCCTGGGAGCTGTTACAACTTAAGGAGGGCGTCACTTTCTGGTTGCCCATGATAGTGTACTTATAACGGAAAAAAATGTCATTTATTTCGACGCTTCGAATGAAATTGTTCTCCTAAATGTAATATGGGATGTTTATTTCTTGGTGGGCCGCTTGCATTTGTTCTCGCTCCTGGTAAAAATTAGGATCCCGGACTACCTGTTTATTGTGAACAAATTAATTAACTATCATACAACACAACTGTGTGAAGCTGTGAGTCACCATGATTTCCCATTTGAAGGCATCTGTATGGCCAAGTTCTTAGCAAGTTCAGCATTGTGACCTAAACTTGTTTTTCTTTGTATTTTATCAATTGTTAATTTGGTAGTCTAGATTAGGCTGGATATTGTTTTATGGTATTAAAACAATTCAATTTCTTTTCATCAAATTTCAACTTTAAAGTCCGATTGGGTTGAAATTCGGTATGTAGGTAGACCGGGATGTGTTATAGGTAAAACTTGAGGTGACGTCATTATGACGTCATCGTGCGATTTAATATGAATTTTTGAACCTTTAAGCCATATCTCACGTACGCAATATGCTAAATTAAAAATTCTTTTGTGTTATGTTTGTTAGGTAATAGGTATATGCACACAATTTTGGAAAATGTGTTACGCCATTATGACATCAAAAAAATGCGATTTTTAAAAACACATATAAGGGAATGTCCGATTGTCATGAAACTTGATGGGTATGTAGATAATGATACTGGTATGCAAAGTCCGAAGTGACGTCACAATGATGTCATTGGTTAATTTTTTTAAAGATTTTTTTAATATTTAGAATTTTATTCTGCTTCCAAAATTGTACACTTCCTTTCATCGGATTGACTTCAAACTTGGTACAAAGACAAATTGTTACTAATAAATAAGCATAATGCGAAAAAGCCCAATGTTCTGTTGCAAACAGACATAGTATCTCTAGTTTTTCTTTCTTCTCCTTTTTGTGCCACGCAAAACCCTGTAGACTTTGTACACAATTTTTGTACAAGCCACTTTTGGCATCAATCTTTGTCATACATCATTCAAACTAAGCTATGCATATGCATTGTCCTTGTAGCAAAGTTGTGTCCCGAAGAGTGACGTCAGGATTACGTCATCATCAGTCACATGACATCATCACAAATGTGCATATTTTGAAGTCCTATATCTACAGAACTGTAAGTTCAATTGGGTTGAAACTCAGTATGTGGTTAGACCGGGCTAAGTTATAGGTAAAACCTGAGGTGACATCATGATGACGTCATCATGCGATTTTATATTACTTTTTGAATTTTTGGACCGTTAAGCCATCTCACAATATTTTTTGTCAAACCATACACATTTTGTCACTTTCTTAAATATGATCAACTTCAGACTTCGCACATACTTAAACCATGACCCACACATAATCCTAGAAGATTGTTATCATCATGACTTCATCAAGTGTCAAGTTACGTCCTATTATAAAAGTGCATATTTCAAAGCCTTATATCTTTGGAAGTTCAAGTCCGATTGGGTTGAAAATTAGTGGGTACATAGACAGGGATGTGTTGTACCGGGGTATATCAGTATTGAGGTGACGTCATTACAAGTCATGTGACATCATATTACAGGTGCATTTTCTAAATGGTCCAAATTGGTTGTAACTTGATATGTACCTATATCAGGATGTTTGAATTCAAGTGACGTCATCGTGACATCATCATATGTCATTTGACTTAACATTAAAGGGGCATTTCATACATTAAGGCCTCTATCCGTAGAACTACAGGTTGGATTTGGTTGTAACTTGGTCAGTTGGTAGGAACTGAGACCGGGATGTCTTACATATGAAAATTGAAGTGACGTCATGATAAGGTCATCACAGTCATGTGACATGACATTAAAGGGGCATTTTAAAATCTGTATATATATATCTACATGTTATGTGCGTGACATGTGTTATCGATGAAATTTGAAGTCATCGTGTCGTCATCGTCACAGAGACATTACAAACATCCAAAACAGCTGGTGTTTGTCCACAAACACATCTCTAGTTTTTGTATATTTTCCAACTGTAGGAGTCTATTACAAGTTTACTTGTTTCCTTAATGCGGGTGGACTTTGTTGTCCCATTGTAGGCATCCTTCTGAATAGTCTCCCAATAAACCAGTAATTTTTGATTAACTTGATGCTGCAAGGGGTCCTTTCTTCTCCCCCAGGATTCAGGACCGTCTCCCATCAGAGAACTTTGTTTTATATAATAATGTTTGTTATAACCTAACCACTTGATAACTGGATTCTTTTTGACAAATATATCAAGAAAAAAAAATATCAGCCAAATAAGTTTGACAGCAAATGGCTCCTTGAGAGTCTTTGAACAATACACCTCAACAAAGATACACATTTTGGAACAGCGATTTTTGCTACGACAGGCTTTGTACAGCAACCAAGTTCAAGTTCAACACAAAGTGTGTACAACAACAATGGAAACCAATGACGTGTATACATGTCCACGCCAGGCTGAACTGCGGGCTGACCCCAGGGGTTGTCAATAATATATTCTTTTCATGCCTGCAGAAAGGAACCTTGCTAATTTCCTTTGACTTCGTGCACACAGGACGAAAGCAATTTTGTTAAGTTTTTGTTTAGTGCCCCTCCCCCCCCCCCCTCTGAAAAAACAAAAACAGTTAGGCCAGAAAGTAATGCCTATGGTGATTTGAGAGCTTTTTTAGAGAGAAAAAAAACTGACAAATCCTGCACATATTGAGAGAAAATGACCCGAATATTTGTAGCTCTGTACATTTTTAATGGACTGCTTTTGCTTTTTGCCGCCAGGCCCATTAATGTGCATGCATGCATAATTATGAAGTTATTAGTAAAAAGGTCCCTGGTGCTCATGGTGCTTTCATTATTACCTTGCTCATTGGGCCATTGAAACATTCCACAATCTCAGCTCCCTGGGGAGTATACAGCTAAAAACAACCATCTCTGCCCTCACAGGTTTACTCCTTGGTGGGGAGAAGCAATAAGTGACAAACTGCCTTGCCCAAGGGCACACGAACCATAACCCCAAACTGGATTCAAACCCACAACCTGCAGAATTATAATATACTAGGCTCAAACATTGACAGTCTAGTTTGTCCCATCCTGCTTTGCATTTTTGAAATTGGTATTCTTTAATGGACAGAAATTGTTGTGAGCAAGTGATCTTAGCCCTTAAATGTAATATACAACATGTGCGTTTGCTGTAATTTTTTAGAAATGGATGGATTTGGGGAATTGGTATTTCATAACAAATATTGTTTCACTGACTTGTTTGAAGTTTTGTGTTCGTAGATGCTGGAAAAACCAAGGAAAACAATCACGCTCTTGTAATCTGGTTCCCTGACCCTACTTAAATTGAAATGGAACAATCTAGGAAACAATCTAGCTGGCTTTGTACCCTTTTCATACGTGTGTAATCAATTGCAAACAAAATGCGGACTAACTATATGTTCAATTGGAGGCAGTATTTGCAAAAAGCGACTTTTGGGGGGCCAGACAACTAGCATTGGAAACTGATACAAAAATATCACTTTTCTTGAAAATGTTGGCACACCAGGCGCCATGATTTTACAGGATGCTTTAGACTGTAATTCACTAACAGTCCAGTAAGGTTTTTTGATAAAATTTGGTCAATTTGTTTTTTGTAAATGTTGTTATATTCCCTTTAATGTTAACCTTACAACCAACTTTCTATGTAATTCATGTGCAACAGAGATCACAAGTAAATACTTTAACAAAACAAAATTGACCTTACCTGTCTAAAATTAGGTTGACAGTTGTTTGCTTTCCACTGCTTCCATTCATTGCTGAAAAAAAGGAACAACAAGGTCATTATTCCTTTGAACAACTTGTGCCAAAGCTACACATACACAAAGAAATCCACTAAATAGTACTAGGTGTGTTTCTGGTTACATTTGTTTGATTTATAAGAGATTTGTAAATGTATTTATTTTCGTTTAATGACCTCATGTTTTTGGGTGTATACATTGTAAATTAAAAGATACGTATGTGTTTGTAACTTTAGCGGGTTAATTTACCTAGTTAAGGAAATATGCAGCATGCTGGAAAACAGCTACGACTTTTTTGTCACGTTACCTGAGAGATGTGCTCTTAACAGACATTTGCGGATCCAGCGGGGGGCGCAGGGGGCGCACGCCCCCCCCGGCAAATATTTTAAAATGTATACTATCGGTGACAAAACGGACGGTGATCCGACGGGCCACGCGTTTTGAGTTTGAGGAAGAACAATCATTCAAAAGGCGTGGCAATTTTCACGCACCTCCTAAAGGTCACTTTTCACGGGGCACGCGAACGATTTGCGAAGGATGTGAATGTCGAAAAAATGGCAAAGTCCAACATTCGGAGAAGTTTTTCTCTGAATGTCTCCCGACAATGGAGTCGTAAACCATTCTTGCGCAGTTTGTGTGAAGTTCTCACAACGTATGTGCGAATGTCGTGTGTACCGTGACTGAACTACGGCCAGTCCACATACACAAAGAACACGCAACTTAAATGCGAACAACGCGAATGTTCCAAGAATCACGGGCGAATTTCTTGTGGAAAGGTCGAGAAATAATCGGGCGAACTTCGCTTCTAGCGCCAGACATTCTCCAAATTGTCGGGGTCTGTTTGGGGATTTACGAAGAGTTTGCGAACATCGCGCACGTCTTGAGTAGGTCCTGCGCATATGACGAAGCTTTTAAGACATTTTTTGAGAACAAATCACGAGCAAAACACGACCCGGGATGCTGGAAACGTTCGCAAGAAATTTCAGAATTTTTTGAAACTCCCGCCGAACTAAAAACGACGCCCGCGAATAACTGACGATGCTTCCGAACCCCGCGATGGTTTTCACGTGGCACGCGAACGATTTGCGAAGGATGCAAATGTCGAAAAAATGGCAAAGTCCAACATTCGTATTTTATGCTGCAAAGGATCGCCAAACCATCGCGAGGGTTCGGAAGAATCGTCAATTATTCGCGGTCATCGTTTTTAGTTCGGTGGGAGTTTCAAAAAAATTTGAAATTTCTTGCGAACGTTTCCAGCATCCCCGGTCGTGTTTTGCTCGTGATTTGTTCTCAAAAATGTCTTAAAAGCTTCGTCATATGCGCAGGACCTACTCAAGACGTGCGCGATGTTTGCAAACTCTTCGTAAATCCCCAAACAGACCCCGACAATTTGGAGAATGTCTCGCGCTCGGAAGCGAAGTTCGCCCGATTATTTATTGACCTTTCCGCAAACTTTTTGCGTACTTCTTGAGACATTCTCACGAACGTTTGGTGCACGTTTGGCGGCAAATCCACACCACGTTTGACCTATATAAAGCGCACGACTATTTCGCGCATTTGCTACTCTGTGTGAATTCTGTATTGTAGGCAAGCAGGCTATGTAGGCCCATACTATAGCCTCATAGGTTAAACAGTGGGTGCTTTATTTACTTCATTTGACTTCAACTGAAGACAGCAACATGCCGCCCAAGGGAGGGAAGAGTCGTGGCCGAGGTGTCGGATTGACCAAGACGAGGAAGACAAACCCCCTGCCAGGGGGGATGGAAGGTGTGCAAGAGGCCCATAGTTCCCAGGAGGAGCGATCAGAAGAACATTCGCGTTGTTCGCATTTAAGTCGCGTGTCGATCGTGTATGTGGACTGGCCGTAGTTCAGGCACGGTACACACGACATTCGCACATACGTTGTGAGAACTTCGCACAAACTGCGCAAGAATGGTTTATGACTCCATTGTCGAGAGACATTCGGAGAAAAACTTCTCCGAATGTTGGACTTTGCCATTTTTCGACATTTGCATCATTCGCAAATCGTTCGCGTGCCCCGTGAAAACCGACCTTAAGACTTTATGCGCGGGTTATGATGGCCGCACGGTACGCGGATAAAACCAAGGTAAAACAAACTGCAGTGGAGTCTCATTTCGCGTATTTTTTAGCGCCTCATACGTCCATGAGACTCGCGGACAACTGCCGCGTACAATGCGTATGAAGTGAAACCGTTTTCACGCTCCGGGCTTGGTGACTAAACAAAATCAAACAATGGCCACTTCAGATTCTATTAAAATATTTTTCTGATACGTTTCATGCCAGTTTGACACACTCCCCAAATATGCACCCGCTGTAATGAAATATTTAAATTCATGTCAGTTATACAACCGAGCGCGGAATAATTACAAATTATGTGCATGTTCTCAACTTTAGGCTTTGAATACAGAAGAAACTTCATAGGAGCAAGAATGTATAGGCCTATATGTATTTGAAACAAATGAAACAAAATATCCCCTCATAATTTTAAAACTTCTGCTAAAGAAAAATCAGGGGAAAGTGGCCAGGAAACGCCTCAGAGAGCATCTACGATCCAAAATTTCCCGGGGCCCGGGACCCCTCGCCGTAAGGGCTTCGAGCTCTGCGCTCGTATTAGTCCTCCGGCCAAATTTCCTCTATGCTATTATTTCACCCTAGCAGTGCCCCCACCTTTTTTGTACCTTGAGCAGCGAATGGCTGAGGCTCGGACTACAAGTGGCCTGAATCCCATTCCAAAATAAAAAGTTGTGAAAAAAATACGAACATGGAACATGGTTCTCAACTTTGAGTACATAACAAACTTTATAAAGAACCAAAAAACCCAAATTTAAATGGAATTTTCAATGTTTAAAACGTTGTTTAAAACGTTTTTTAAACGGTGGAAAGTGGCCAGGAATCGCCTCAGATTGCACCACAGAGCATCTATAATCCAAATTTTTTCAGGGCCCTTAAGCGGGCCCCGGACCCCACGCAATAAGGGCTTCGCGCTCCGCGCTCGCAGGTCCTGGCCCCTTCATTACAATTCTAGCCCCCCCGGCAAATGGCAGTCTGGATCCGCCCCTGACAGAGGGGCGGACCGGGCTGGTGACAATGTCAGCCACCATGCCATCGGCTGCCCAGAGACAACCCTCCAAAGAGGTCTCAACCCAGGCTGTTGTACCAACAACTCAACAGTAGGGTGAGCAAGGCTCATATTAGTTTATAAATGTGCCTATGTGTAGTCCATGAGGGGATTCCTTATTTGTGTGTCCTTTGACTCAATTGCAGCCCACTCCCACCACCACTTTCGGTGCCAGTCTATACATTTTATTTATAGGTCCAACAGGTAAGTAGGAAACGAAGTGGACAACCCCCAAACTATGGTGTTTGGTTGTCCACAAGGGGACTACTTACCTGTTGGACCGTCCCGCCCGCTTTTCCCCACAATGGGCTCCTCCTTTTGGTGTGATTCAGGCGCGCTAAAGAAATAGGACGATAATGGCGGGGGCTCTGACTATTGTGGGCGTTGGCGCAGAAGGGCGCTGTGGCACGCTATAGCAAATCTTTACTTTAGCGGTTAATTTACGTAGTTAAAGGGAATGTACATCATTGGCTTTTGCTGTAATTTTCAGAAATGAACTATTTGAGGGGTTAGTATAATAGATCAAATATTGTTACACTAACATGTTTGAAGTTTTGTGTTCGAAAATGCTGGAAAAACCAAGAAAAACAAAAATGTTCAAGTAGTCTGGTTCCTTGACTCCATTAAAGATAAAATGGATCAATTTATAGATGCAGGAAAATTGTAAGGTAAGGGAACCAGTCTAGCTGGCCTGCACCCGATCGTGAACATGTAACCAATAGCAAACAAAATTTGGACTGAAAAAAGTGTAAAATTGGAGGAGTAGTTGAAAAATAGTTAGGTTTTTCCAACGGTGATCGGCCGACCACCGTTGGAAATGTATACCAAAATACCATTTTCTTGAAAATGACTTCACACCAGGTGCCATAATTTTACAGGATGCTTTAGACTGTCATTTACCAACATCCTAGTAAGGTATTTCGTAAAAACTTGGTAGTTTTATTTTTTGATGTTTGCAAATGTTGTATATTCCCTTTAAGGAAATATGCTTCTGGCAAGACTATACGTGGTGGAGGTATGGCCGGAGGGATTGACTTTGTTCCTATCCACCAAGTCCACCATAGACTTGGCCAACTCTGGGTTGTGCTCAGTCTGTATCTATAGTAAAATGTGTGCTTATAGCGCATACGTATACACTATACAAGCCGTACCATAACGCGCGCCCTCATGCGTCAAATCCAGACCAACATGTTAAAAACGTACATGTACATGTTATTGTTGTGTGATGCAGCAACCCAGACTTGGTCAATATGCCAAGCATACGCGCTTGTTTGTTCCATGTTAGTAAATAGTCTATGGAGATTAATTTCCACTGTAATTGGCTTCTATCCATTTGAAGCCAATCACAGCACAGTATTTCAGGTAATTATAAATATAATCTTTATTCCTAAAAATGCGCGCAGATTGTTTTGACATTAATCAGCACTGTCCCTGTATATTCGCGCAGCCAAAGTTTGGCGGAGAATGCACATGCATCCCATGGTGAGGAGTAGAAACAGATACACGCACGCACACGTTCAAATGTTTTGCTCAGTAATTTGAATGCTTGTTGTACTTGCGTTTTTTTTTAGTCTGAGGAATCCTAGGACCCGAAAATACATGAATAATAATAACAAGTCAGGTGTGTTTACAAACACAAATGCCCCGCAACCATGACTGTTTCCATGACATAACACCACTCTTTGAACATCAACTTACATGTACTTGGGTCACATGGAACATTCATTGACATCATTAGTGTTTTCAGTAGGTTTTATATGAATTAATCCCTATGATCTCAGAATAAATACAAGATTTGTATTGTTTTAGCCACTATGACCTTGACCCTTGACTTTTCGGCTCCAAATGCAATAGGCTTCTTAGGATTACCATGAACAAT